GTGGACGGGGACCAAGTTAGCCCTAATAGACACGCGGTTCGCGTTTGTGCATCCGCGATGACGGCGGGGTGGAACGAAGGCAGCGTAGACGCGAGGAGTGTATGGGTAGCGCAAACAAACCGACCGCTGATTACAGAGACTGCTTCTGACAGCCCATCAAATATTCCGCATTTACGTGTACGTCGACGTCACTGAGTATATTCCGTGCCTGCGTTCATCGTCTATCTCTGCTTAACTTGGCGGTTCCGCGGCTGTCTCTGTCGTTCAGTCTCTCTCCTCTGCCTCTTCCGTGGCTTGACTGAGTTGACGGAGCAAAGTGAGGGAGAGACAGACGCATCCACGCGACGGAGAAAGACCGCGAAACCGGAGGATAAGCCAGAGAGGGAGATAAGGACGAGAGGACAGGAAAGGGTGAGGGTCTGAGGGTTTGCCAGCGTTGCAGAGCTTCCATCTCTGGGTTCCCTTTCCCATCTCCTTCCCTCGCCAATTTCCCTCCGTAAATTCGATTATCTATAGGTATATGCCTCGTCGTCTACCCCCCCTGCGCGCGTCCCGCGACTCTTCAACCTCATCGGTGTCGTCCTCGCATCCTGCCAAAGACTGGCAAAATTCTTATCTCGGGAAAAATTTCAAATAAATCGCGAGGTCAAGAGGCATCCTATTCTCGTTAATCCTGGGCGAACGTGCGTGGGGTTATCTTTTAGTTACGAGTTTCTGGGTATAAAGGGACCGAGTACAGAAATGTTAGAAAATGTAAAACTCTACTTTAATAATAATACAAACTATCCACTTGGTATCGAGATTAATAGATGTGTATCTAAATAAAATTCTGCTTATATTTATCCTTAATCTTGCCAGTTTGAAAGGCTGGTGCCTAAACCTCTTTTCGAAACTGGCGAGGTCAGTCACCCGCTCCTGGGAGACGGAGACCACTAGCCGAGGGAGACGGCGCGTATCATTTTTGGACGAAGTTAGGGTCCTCCCGGGGGAGCTCACTTTAGCCCCGAGATTGCTGGGCGGAAAATATTCGACGCTGGAGACTCGGAGTCCCGTCGAGAGACCGCGGCCTAGATTTCTCGCGGCAACGTCAGAAGTTTTCGGCTCGCGAACGTGTTCCCAGGACGGGGTGGTTCCAACCCCCGATTTTGCGCGGTCACGTTTACCTCTCGACCTAACCGGGCGATAGAAGCCAACGGTCGCGGACAAGATTCGCCCAGACGCCTCCTTTTCAGCGGCCTCGATTGTACATTGTGCCGCACGGTGAAAAGAAAGTTTCCAGGGATGATATTCAACCCCTTGCGACGTCCAAGGAACGTATTTCACTGGTCAAGTCCTGCAAATGCGTTTATTTATCCAATTTCGTGTAAATAAATTGTGTTTATGGTTTTGTTCAGTGTTTTGAGGGTCGTTGTAACAATGAGGATAAAGTCAAAGGGAGAATTAATACAGAAAATTAATAATAAATTGATCTTTCGAGTGTGATGCTAAGAAAAAGAACGAAACGATGTTCAGACTCATCTGAAAAATATGAAAAACTTGAATCTTACGATGACTCCCTTAGTACCTTCTTCGTCTGCAAAAATTCTGCACCGATCCTGCCTTGAAGGAACCTGGTACTGATCTTCCATTTTTAACTGCATGTTTTATTCGCCACGAATGTCTAATGCATCAAGGGATTAGCGAGAAGCGGATGAATCGATCGCTTACCGGGACCAAAATCAATAGGGAGCGAGGAAATTTTATTTTCCCGTCCCCGACCGCTTTTCCGGTAAATATTGATGCTGCTTGAGCGTTTCGACGCAACGCAAATGTTTTCGTTCCTTCGCGCGGTTTGGCGCGCCAGCCATCGTCAGGCGGATGTAGTTTTGGCTGAGAAGGTGTCGCAGGATGGGGATTGAGTTATAACATCCTCTCCGAGGGGGTAGGCGAAATTTGATCGTTGTTATCTCGCTAACTCGGCCGAGTTTGCGTGCAACGTGTTCTTAAAAGGTTTTAGGGAACTTTGGGAGTGCACTGTGGGGATTGAGGTTTTGACAAAATATCCTATGAATACGAATTTGCGCGAGATTAATGGTGACCATGGTACGATGTTTGTATTCCAACTCGATAGGTGGAAGCTCGTTTGTAAAACGGCGTTATGAAATTTCTCCACTATCAATTACAATGCATAAATTCCTCTATATGTAACGCTAAACCTACCGACGTCCATTTGTAATTATTTCTACCGTGATGGGACAAATGAATAGTCTTAAAGATACGTTTTTCGATTAAATGCGAAAATATTTTACACGGAATTAAATTGAATAATGCATGAAACAATTGTACACAATTCGTGTATTGCATGTAAGAATTGAATACAAAAGTTTGAGAACGATCATTGGACCGGTCGTGGTAGGTTTAGTGTTAATTATTAAAAATATTACAAGAATTGAAACGAACGCAAAGTAGTGTTACCCAGGATGCCCTTATAACTCTTAGGTGTATAAATATTCATGAAATAATTTCATCGGAGAAAATGAGATATAACCCATCTAATAGAGGTTTAATAAGCTTCAGCAGGATGGAGATAACTCGGTGGTAATTTCTCAGATACTGTGAAGTACTTTCATCTAAGCTAGTTATTAGTGATGAAGTATGTGCGTGGGTGACTTCCGTGGAAACGGTTACGTTAATCGAACGACGAGTACCGCGTGGAGGCTGGAAACCACGAGACTGAATTGGCTCAGTTTCTGCACGACGGTTCGGCCCGACGAGGTCAAAGGTCGCGCGTGCCCGCGAGAGATCGATTCGATTATCCCTGTCTGTCGAGATGCTTTAAATCCGGCCGTCGAATGGTTTCATTGACGAGACGCGAATTTCCGCGACCATTAGACGGTTTAACGATCTTAATCTCTCGATGGTCAACTCTACCGCGATCCTAACACTCTTCGTACCATTTTACGCACTTTTTATAGCCATTGGAGTAGAAAGTGCGCGGTTACGTTCAGTGCGATTGATTTAATTAAATAATGAAATAGGCTTGAAACCAATCATATTTGTATCTTTTTGATTCAGAATTCAATTTTCTACGAAAAATCAATGCATTATAGTTAACCTGCCTTACGATTTACTCTGGGCCTCATACAACATGAACAGGAATTATATCCCTTTTGTATATTGATACGACGCGTCCGACTCGTACTTTTCATGTTCGACTCGAATTCCTTACCACGTGTCTCACGCGATGTTATTGACAAAAGGTTTAATTTTGTTACGTGACTACCGTATCATCGATCAATTGCTATTCGAACGCCTATTTCGAGCCCAGAATACCTCTTCAGAATACCATGAATCCTAAAAGAGAAACAAATTAAAATAATTTCCGACATGGGAAAACGTATATAAAGCTACTCCAAGTTTTCAGACGAGCAATTACATATGCACGTCCTATGAAGAACACTCACGACCCCATACAAATTTTCTAAAATGGTACCAGAACACGAAACCAGTCACGCCGTTTCCCGTCGATCCGAAAACCCGTATCGATTCGCGCGCGTATAATTTCCGGCTGGCGAGCACGATCCGTTCCCGCTCCTTATTTAAAGATCCGCCGGGTATTAACGATTTTCGTCTGTATCCCGTGCGCGCCACAGGCGCGGTTTATCCGGCTGCTTGTTCAAGCGGGAGTGTTTTGAAAGCGTGCCAGTACATCCAGCGCTGCATGCGCGCGGACTATGGAGGCCTGAGTACAAAAAAAAAAAAAGGATGTGGAGGAGGAAGGACGGGGTTGGGGTTTGTAGGGATCGTATGGGTAGCGTAGCACAATTCACGGCCGTGCTGTGTATTCGGTCTTCCCAATGAAACAGTTGTTATTTTGTGGTTGGCGAGTGCACTAGAGAGATACACCGCTGGAATGGAAAGCCTCGGTTGGATAGCAAAGCAGCAATATCGCCCTCTGTCCGACTCGGTAGCGGGTGCTCGACTATTTTTGCCCCGCCAGCGGTGAATCTTGAGCAACGATCGGACGTAATATAACACCGTGTATATCGCGGGACGCGCAGTGATGCGGCGTCACGATTTATCGGACACCGGTGGCAGTGAAGCAACAGCACGCTCCGCCAGACCGCGATAGTAGTATGTCCTCGTTCTACGCTAGACACGGTATAAGAAACTCGTCGGAGTGGTTTCTTCTATTTCTACTCTAACCAGGACTTTTCGTTGAACGATAGATACATCTACTGTGTGCGGTAGTAGTTCGCGAAGCATCGAAGCTTTTGGTACGGGTTAAAAGAATGTTTGTAGTCTTCTCGTCGATGAAGATGATGGTCTAAAAAAACAAAAATCGCGTTAAATATAAACGCAAGGTTGGAGTCTCTGTCTGACGATGTTCCTGAATAATTAACTCCCCGTTCCTTTGATTCACGCTGGCCTATCACTTTCGTTCCAAGTACAAGTTTTATTTAATTTTACTGCAAGACGTACATCGAAGCCATTTAATCTATGTCAGATCTCTTCTCGATTTAATTACGTATGTATGTGGTAATTACGTATTCGTGTGATTATTACTGTAACTAGTAGCGAGGTAAAGACATTCCGCTGAAGGGAATTATAAAGTAATGTTAGCTTCAAACGAAAATTTAACTCAACTTCTCCACTATCTCTCTAACAAAGGAAAAATTTAATCAAGTCTTGGCCTTCTTTATACCCGCGATCATTAGGAACCCAGGCACAAAGCCCAAAGCCTTTGCTATTCGTTATTTTCCCCTGTAGAACCAGCCCTTCTTGCACCTACCAACAGCGGGTATACATTCTCTACAATAGAGGATTCTTTAAAATAGCATCCATGACAATATGGACAGGAATTTACGTTAGCCCCGTACCTGGAGGATCTAAAATACAATTTTCGATTGTCCCGCAACGTTGGTCTGTTCGTGTGCCCCTGCGAGGCCCGTTTATGGCTTTTCTCATCGCAAAAATACGGATGTTCACTGACTTTCTTTCGTTTCTCTTGTCTGCCGTAGGTGGTACTACAACAGGAACCAGAGGGAGGAGCCGATCGAGGATTCGTCGGGGCATTACCTGGTGCGAGACGGTTCGTTGATCGTGCAAGGCGTCCAGGAGAACGACGCCGGCTCGTACATGTGCACCACCAGCAATTCCGAGGGCAGCGAATCCATGGAAGTGAGGCTAACGGTATCTGCGCCATTGAGCGTGCACGTTCAGCCCTCGATTCAGACCGTCGATCTTGGAAAAGCCGCTCACTTGGTAATTGACGATTCTTACGGTTGCTCGCGATCGTGGCCTAGCTTTTTCAACGGCAATCGATCCTGCGTTCAGTTCACTTTTGACGTTATCGATTGATCGTTACCGCGACACTACGATGCGTAGTCGATGGCACGGATGGGTGAAATTTTAATGGAATAAAGGACGATTGCCAAATTGAACGGTGAAATTTTTATTTGTTCGTAGTGGAATACTGAATAATCCTAACTTTTTTTTTATTTACTTTACTTAAGGTCACATCAACTACGAGGTTATTGGTGACCCCGTCAATGATAACAGTTTAATTATAATTTTTTTAAGATTTGAGAAATTTGAGAAAATCGTTTTTGTTATTAATAATTGTCTGCATACTATTCGAAAGTTTAAATTCTACTCGCTCATATTCCCTGGCATTCTTCAATTAAATGTTTTACTGTTTTTCGCCACGATAGTTGCATAATGGTGGCTGTGATTTAGTTATTTTGTATCATCGAGTCAGATATGTGTGTCAATTCTCAGTCTTAATAGTGTTACTCGCAGTCTTTTATTTGTTAGGGTCTAACTATTATTTCTAGTTACAGAATTTTAGTCGAAATTTTTATTTTTGTTAGAATATTACCTAGTCGGTGGTCAATTGCGTACTGTATGCGATTTGCTATGTAAATATGTCCATAGGCCTTCGTGGACGCTGGTAAACACAGTACTGGACAATTGTACCTAGAGAAACGGGTTTGAACAGAATATTCCCGGCACCGAAATTTTCGTTTAATTCCTTGGATCTGTACTTTCAATTAACGAATTGTAGCACGTGTCAATATAAATACGAGGTATTGCAATCCTCGTGCTTGATATCTATCGAAAAAGGATTTTATTCGAGATACTAACTTACATCTTCGCAGCATCAAAGGTAGATTTAACCACCAAAGCAACAGTAATTTTCTCAACCCTCCCCCAATATTCAAAATTCCTCCCGGTGGGTCTTACACCTCACGTTGAGAGGCACTGACGAGAATCTTCGACAGGCGAGTCGAGTTAAGGGAAAAGCCTCGGCTGAAACGTCTAAATCTGAACTTCCCACGATGAAAATCTATCCTCGGTGAATTCTTTGTTCATTTCCGAGCCACTTGGCGCGAGGTGCGCGTTCCCGGGGTAATCCGATTTTTACGAGGAGACGAGAAGGCGGAAAAGCGTTTCGAGGCGTCTGCCACCTTCGCTATCGACGGTAGAACAACCAGGCGCTAGGCTGCGTCGTCCTTGGACCGGCAATCTTGTTTTTGAAGGGGCCGCGGAGGATTTCGAAGGCGCCCCGTACTGTTCGCAAACGGGGAGACGGGGAAAACTTGGCCAGTTCTCATCAGTTCCTTTTCTCTAAACTGCTTTTCAGACGTGCAGCGCGAGTGGATTTCCGCAGGCGGCACTCTACTGGCTGAAGGACGGTCAACCATTGAGAACTGGCGCTCGCATAAGGGCGGTTACCAGGGAGCGTATTTCCGTGATGTCGGTTGCACGTGAGGATCGCGGCATGTACCAGTGCTTTGTGAGGAACGAGTATGAAATGGCTCAAGGAATTGCGGAATTGCGGCTGGGCGGTGAGTCTTTGTTTGCTTACCGTTTACGTCCATGTGTGTGCCGCTGCTGTGAGAGAGACGGACGGGAGGGTGGGGTGGGGGAATGAAATGTGGAAAAATGGATCCATCGATGGAATACCATTTTCTTTCTTAACCGCTGCGAAACGATCTAGTCCAACGTTTAATTCAGGATCCTCGGTGCGTGACAATCTTTTTTTACTTGGTTAGTTTAGTGCTTTTGTATTATTTGTTGAATACTTGGCTAAATAAAACACGCAGGTTTTAAGTCTTTTACTGAGGTGATATATTTAAGAAACGAAAACCGAAATTTAGATACGTGCGAGGAATGCGGTCTATTCGAGTCTACGATTCTATGGCTCCTGTTTCCCTGCAGTTCCTCTGTGTGGGAATTCCCTGACATTCGTCCTCTGCGCGACGACAATTCTGCCGAACTCAGCTGTTTCGGTCATTAATGATCGGAAGGTCTCGAACCAGAGAAAATGAAACTTCCAAATTAAAATTATTGATAATCAATTTTAGTATTTATCGAGATTAGTGATTCTAATCTGAGAGCTGGATATTGAATTATTCGTCGCGTGGAAATAAAGGGGAAATGTAGAATAAAGTTTTTCAAATCGAGGCATTATAAGAGTAGATCTTGAATATTCAGTAGAATTGAGTACCATGGCTACGAACGTGTCCGATCATAACTCGATCTCTCTACTTGTCGATCAACTCGAAGTGTCCAAAGTCTTCGTTAATGTTCGAAATACTATGATTTCAACCTTAACGTCGTTCCAGGCATTCAGATGACATGAAAATTTATACCCCACTCCTTGAAAAATCATCGCCAACTAAATAACTCTCATTTCAGTTCCTTGGTCGCAGTCGACCCAGCGCGCGAGACTTAGCACACTCCATGCACACGTTTCACGAACTCTCATAGAATCCATATTTGATAAACCGCGACCAGAAAACAGCCACGGCTTCAATTTGAATATCATTCCAGCTACTCAGTTTTCTAGGTTCCATCGTACGCGAAAATTTGCAGGATTTCCTCGAAAAATCGCCGCGAAGCGAGCGACTCCTCAATTGCAAGCTGACCCAGTCTGCGCTCGTGGGAGTTTCAGGGCACTCCATCGCTGTCTAATGACATCACGGGTCTCAGCCACAGGTTTCAATTACGTCTAGCCGGTTTTCTCCGTCGAGCCTCGCTCGTTAAATTCTCGCGACGAATTTGTCCCCTCGCCCCGATCGGATTTGATCAGCGACGGGAAAAGGAATCGGAAAATCCGCGAGGCACGAGAGTAACGCCCTCGTTTCCTCTCACGCCCTTTCCATTTTCTCCTGGTACGGTCTCTTCCCGTCGTTCGCTCGACTCTCGAGGCTCCTTGGCCGATGATGGAAACGCGGTCGCCGCGCTGTTTGGAAGACATACTCGTCGACGGGAGGATGAAAGGGAGGAACGGGGCTTGTTTGTCGAGCGAATGGTTCCACGGTGATAGGTTGCCGGTGGTTAATGCAGTGGAACTCTTCCCCATACGATCCATTCCCGGTTTGCGTGCCACTCCATCGTAACGCGTTTTCCATCACCGGGGCCGCGCGGTTCTCCTCTGGGGGAAAGTATGTGCCGTTTTCGTGCGAAAATGGCCGCGTCGGTTTTCCCGAACGTGCCATCGCCGAGCCAGGATCGCTGTTTGCTGCCCGTTAATCGCCACCGCTTCGCTCCGCCAATGCTTTTAATTAGGGTGTCCCAGAGCGCCATCCCCTCTTTCATCGTGAACTTTTCACCGGCGATTTTTAGACCCTTCACGAGGGTAGTTTTAGCTGGGGGAGCGATTTTTTCGCGATTGGATGATTTCACGTTGAGAGATCGCGGTGTAATTTGATTCTATCTTTAGAGAGGAGGATTTGACAGTCTTGAAATAAACGGTAGTTATTACTGGCACTCATCTTCAGACCATATACAGTCAGTCCCATAAGTATTCGTACCTTCTATGCTTATTGAAGAAGTTTGTCTAAATTAAATAATGGATGTCATGTTTCCAGATGAATTTTTCATTATAAATATATACGTGTGTTAACGTTTATTCATGTATATATTTGTAATGAAACATTGATTTGGAAACATCGAACCTATCATTGAATTTAGACAAATTTAGACAATAGGTACGAATACTTTGGGACCGACTGTAGATATGACAATCCGATTTGAATTTAGATTTGGATTGCCCCCGTTTATTGCACATTTGAATATGATAATTTGTTCTCGAATAAACATTGATTAAGCATTCCACATTTTCGTTTCCTTCGCCCTTCTCCAGATTAAATATATCGATGGCATTTTATTGTAAATATTTAATCTGATACTCTGTATCTTAATTCCAATGTACATTCGAAGACCACAGACGGAACCATGAAAAATCTTCATACGTATTTGTGTAGCCAATGAATATAAAGTGACCCCGGAGGTCTTCCATTGTGTGTACTTTCAATATAAAACACCTGGCGCATGCCAGCAAGAACGCATTCGGGCCAAAGTTAACCGTTTCGAGCACTTGCTATAAAGATAAGCAGCTGCGCATGGCTAAGGTACAAGAATGGCCATAACTTTGGAACAAGGTCAGATAGGGCACACGATTATAGGAACTTTTTTCATTGGTTTTCCGTCCCCGATCCGCTACCGTAGTTGCTTCACATGCATTACAATTATACCAAGGATTTTATGCATTTGTGGCGTATGCTAATATGGAAAACGCATTGAAAACGTATGTGAAATCTACTTCATGGATCCATGGAATGACATCGATATTTCAGTTTGCATAAATGCACAGTAACTCTACGTGTTTAGCATTTGTTTTTCAGATATTACAAATGCTTACGAAATCTTTGAATAAATGATAAATATTCTTCAGCCACTGAGCTGGACCTGGAAGTGTCCGCAAGTGCAAGTGTTTCTGGTCCTTGATGGAACATACCTCCGATTTAATCCGAAAATTGATTAATCGTGGCCAAAATCGATCTAAAAGTATTAGTCGATAATATCCGATATTCTCTTTCATACCTTCAGTAAATTTTTTCGAGTTCCCTCACTTGTTTGCCAGGATAAAACTGTCTACGATGCAATTAAAGTCAGAAACATCCAAGTACATAAATAGCGAAGTCTGCACGAAACGTTTGCAACTCCAGCAAACCGTTTCTCTTCATCCCTCAAACACTTGGCTGGGCAGTAATCCGTCATTTCCATGTATAACCGTAAAAATTCGTCAAGTGAACGTTCCACCCTTTTATTTGTCGGTTTTTTCCTGTTCCACTTTCGCGAATGCTTCGTATCTGTTGCCAGTTTCGCGTCATATTTCGGCCCGGTAACCGGCTCCGATGCTTTTTCCATTAACCGGACATCACGGTACGCCGGTCGATGGTTTCGAGTTATGATCCCGAAGGTTTCAATTAAAACACTTTTATCAGCCTCCCCCCCCAGATTGCCGTGCGATCGCTGTCGCAGTATTCCAAGCTCCGTTACGGGGCGTACAGTGTTCCTACACGATTTTGCGCGCGGGAAACTCCCTCGACGAGGTCTCGTTTCAGCGTGCACGGAAAAGTATCGGTGGACGGTACCGAAACATGCACGATCCCAGTTCGCGGGGGCGCGCTCTCTGCTTCCTCGTAACGTATTTTCCATCACGAAGTCGTTTCGCCTCGGGCCAGGCGAGCTATTTTTGCACGAAAATGGCCTCGTTTGCTCTCCGTCCCGTACGCCCGTGCACGGGACCGCCGTTGCGAGCTAACGTCCCATCGAAAACCACGCGATGCGCGAATTTCCCGGGGAATATAATAAACTCGACTCGCGTGCCACGCATTTCCACGAATCGCGCGATGGACGGAGCCACGAACGCCATGGAGAGGACCACCGACCGTTCCGAACAGACGAGATCGCGCGGGGGCGAAAATGTTGCAATGTAAAGAATGGATATTAGCGCGGATGTGCGGCTTTATTTTTGTGGAGCAAGCAGACATTGGGAAATTTTATTTCGAGAGCCGCGATTGGGATAGGAATCGTGGGTAAGCCGAAGGGATCGTAGGGGTGAAAATGAGATAACGTGTAGAATTGAATGCTAATAGTGGAACTGAATTTTATTTTTGTAAAATGAGCGAATGTATCGTGTTACAAACACGACTGTGCGTGGTAGAAAAGATGGCACAATGGAAAAGATTGTGATACGGAAGGGTGAATACTTATGTAAAAATGATTTTGTTGCTTTTGTAACGGAAGCAGATGTACCGAATGTTATTTCACTACCTGGACTGCCATAGAGACGAGTCGGAAGAGTCGAGAGTGCTACACGGTCGGAAACATTGCAATGCAGAGAGTGGGGACTAACATAGAAATGAATTTCCTATTTTGGTAACAGAGGTACATGTACCAAAATTTGTTTAAATTCTTTAGATGCAAGAAAGGATGCACCACAAATTAAAAGGTAGTTAATTATTCTCTCTTTCCTGAGGGGCGCGTGGAAGGGATAGTAGTAATGCTCTCTCAAGCGAATTTGTACGTTTCCGAAAGTTCCTGCGCACTTTCCCGACCATTACCCTTGCCGACGGCTTGCCAACTTCGATAGTCGTTGAAAGTTGAAATTTTCTTTTGGAATCGTTTTGTGATGGCCTCGATTAGAGCGGTCGTAGCTAATGGTGGGGCTAATACCGTATCGATGCCATCCATTCCAGGCGGTAAAGCATCATTCTCTATCAAACTCTTCTTCCACTCTTAAATCCTTAATACGCAGAATTCCTTGTAGAAGAGACAACCCCTTGGTGTCCTCGCATATAGACGTGCGGAACGTTGTTTATTATTTTTAATACAGGTTAGAGATTGCAGACAAAAATGAAAAGAAAAATTGTACAAAAATTGTATTCAACATGATCGCAAGTAACCTTATCAAATAATCCATTTAAGAAAACCATATAGATGTCATTTCACATAGAAGTTTAAATCCATACATAAATTTCTTTTTAAATTAAAT